GAAGAACAGCCTCCTTTGATAAAGCAATAAAAAGTAACCCAAATTTTTAAAGGTAACATGTCAACACTCCAAGTGTGGAAATCAGGGGAAGCGCACAGGATTCTCGCCACCCCTACCCTGAGAGTCTAGAGAATGGTCCAAAGAGACCATCAGGGGATGACTGAGGAGATGTAAACACACAGCCGTGAGTTCATGAACCTTTGATCCTCTGAGAACCTAAACCTGCAGGGAAAATCTGAGCTTCCTACGAAGGCTTGCTCCACCTCAGAGACCCTCAACGGTGTGAGCAGTATTGAGTGCCAACTTAAACTCGAACCTCCTGCTGCTATGAAGACCTCAAAAGGAGAAGACCCAGACGGTGTCTCAGAAATAATGCCCCAGCCATTGGGGAAACAAGGTTTATATCGAGAAGACTACCAAGTGGCAGAGTTTAGTCTTCATTAAACAGATATTTGTGGAGAGCTTAGGATGGGCTAGGGTGGACATCCGCAACAAAGAGCAAGAATTTAATTGAAAAGTATAAGCAAGGCCAGATCACAGATAGCATATGCTATCAGAGGGAGGCATTTGGATTTTATTTTAAGGATCCTTGGGAAGCCATTGAAAGACGTTAACCTGGGGAGTGAACTGACCAGATTACGTTCTGGAAAGATCTCTCCATCTCTTGATCTGATCTCTTGATCAGATCTATGTTAAGAGCTGATGGACTGTGGCCAAGTGCCACACTGTGTCTTACCGTCTACAAGTGCCTCGCGGCATTATCTGCACTTTTAGCCTGTGTTCAGGATAATACGGTAAAAAGGGGGGAGGAGAGCCGAAAGCAAGCAAAGAGCTAGGTTTTAACCCCGTTTCTACAGTTTCCCAGCTGGGTGGTCTTGGGCACGTTATTTAAATAGGTCTGAGCCCTCAATCTCCTTTCTGTACAATGAAAATAATAATACTTAGCTCATGGGGTTTTGATAATAAAGTGGATGATGTGCCTGGACATTTCTAATAATCCTCCCAACACCATTAGATTCAACCGAATCAAAATGGCATTTTTCAGCCCAGGAGGAGCATCACCTAGCATCCTGCTAAGCCTCCACTTAGCAAGAGATACTGTTGCATTTTCTTCTTACAATTTCATCAGGACATTTTGTTGCTAATGTGTGAAAATAATTGGCATATATACTTTGTAAATGAGCAGTGAGGTAAACTGAAGTCAAAGCCAAATATTGGATCTGAATCAAGCAACCCGAAGACAATACTGCAAAGAATTCAACTGGTTACAAAGACCAGCGTAGGAAGTAAGTGCTCCATTTGTCCTAGCAAACTTTTAACCAAACACTGGTGCAGATTTGCTGGCATGTGTGACACTGGGAACATCTGGCCTTTCAATTATCCTCTCGCAAGCAAAAAATGATGTCGTGTAAACTGATCTTAAAGCCAGCTACATGGTCTAAGTGTTAACAGTGTTTGTGTTGGCTCCTTTGGCTCCCGGTTTTAAGAACTTAATTTATAGCCACACCCCTCCCTGAAGTCCTAATTGCGTCTTGCTGTAACTGACCCCAGGGATTTGTTTATGCAGTGTCTGCATCTTCTTTTCAGGATGGTAAGTATGTATAAATGCGTCACTAGTCAACTGTGCGTCCTGTAAGAATAAGTTACAGGAGTGACGCAGCAACGGGAGGACAGAAGAAGGTGTGGAAGAGAGCCAGCTCTGGGAGCTGCTCTGGTCATGTGTCCAATGCTACAGTTTTTTCCCTGTATACCAGTTTTATTCTAGAAGCCAGGTGAGAAGGGTAGAGGTTCTAGCCTGCAGCTCTCCTAGGAGGCACTGAACTAGGAGTCTGAGCACGTTTCCCCACCCAGACTCAACTTCACTTACCAAACACAATGTGCCAGGCACTGTTCCGAGCCCTTCAAGAAAACTGGTTAAGTTAATCATCTTGACGGGGAGTGGCAGGTGGTGTATTATCCCCAGCCTACATCTCTCAGTGGGATATGACTCAGGGGGGCGTGGCAGAGGCTGTGAGCTTGCCCCCACCCCTCTGGCTCTGGGCTGCTATGCTGGGCTCGAATGTGCTGGGTCTGTAATGAACCACAGCCTGTGCTCTGCAGCAGGTGCCCGTGGGGCACCCCTGGGGTGCTACTGACTATAGGAAGAGGCGCTCTCTGCCTCTCTCCCACCTTCACCCCTGTCCTTCAGCTGCTGTGGCCAAGAGGCTGTGATGGCAGCAGGGGAGGGGCTGACCGAGGAAGATCTTTCTCCATCTCACTCCCATTGCCCCCCCGCCAAACCCCTGCCTGCTTTTACTCCATCTTTAGCTGACAGATGTGAGAGATGGTCTTCTGTTCCGTGGATCCTTTCAAATCTTTCTGAAGACATTTAGGAATCCTAATCTGGGTTATGAACAGAAGAAGCCTGGCAGCTCCTGATTTTGTCTCCAGCAAAAACACTAGAGTTGGGCTTCCCTGGTGGCACAGTGGTTGGGAGTCCGCCTGCCGATGCAGGGGACACGGGCTCGTGACCCAGTCGGGGAAGATCCCACATGCCGCGGAGCGGCTGGGCCCGTGAGCCATGGCTGCTGAGCCTGCGTGTCCGGAGCCTGTGCTCCGCAGCAGGAGAGGCCACAACGGTGAGAGGCCTGCGTACCGCAAAAAAAAAAAAAAAAAAAAATTTGTGTGAAATAATTAAACGGGCCTCTGAGATAATTCACCTGCTCTCTTGGCCCAGCTCACCATCACTGATCCCTAAAGGGAGGGAGAGAGCAGTGGGATGACCAGCCCTAAAGGAAATCTAAGCCACGTGGGGACTTGACTCCAGGCACCAGCAGCTCCTTCCCCAGGATCAGAATTTTCTTTCATCTTTAAAGGAAATGGGCCTCTTGGTCTGACTGGGCATATCTAGGAATGAAGGGCAGAACATGTAGTACAGTAAATCCCAACTCTGAATTGTCAGTTACAGGAACTTATCACAGATGGTAATCATTAGGACATTCACATCTTGGAAGAAAGAGCTTTATCCAGGATCATAAATAAAGTGTAACCGAGGCTTCGATTTATAAAGCTATAAAAGAGGGCTGCTTGGACAAACGGGAATTCACAGTACTGGGTCACAAAATTGACTTAACCCGTGAAAGTTTGACCGTGACCTGGGAGTTCTGGGCAATGCAGTGAGAAGATGGTAGCTGATTTCTGCAGTTAGTGGACCCCAATCGAAACCTAATAAAGTTAGGTCATGGTTTAATCTCATGAAATGCAAGCTCAGAGAGAATGGGGTGCTGACACCTAAATACGGCATTGTAATTCCTAAACCAACAGCGGAGCACAAAACAAGGCCACTGCCTTCCAGAAGTTTCTCACCTAGTCAGGGAGCCAAGGCATTTACAGATAAAGCAATTATAGTATGCAGGCTTCGGTGTGTGGCGTAGACTGTAGATAGAAAACTCAGGGAGGGAAGCGAGGGATGAGTGGAAGCAGGACCCTTCAGGGAAAGACGTGTGGAGGAAAAGGGACTTGACTCGGGACCGGAAGGATGGATGGGGTGTACACGTGTGAGGAAAGCTTTGCTCGGGGCCCCGCCAGCTCCCACAAACATTCGTCGTGCCCCCGCCGTGACGCTCCCCAAGCCAAGTCTCAAATCACACACTTGTATTTCCCTCTTATCCTTCAGGTAACTGGTCCTTAAAGTCCACAGCCTCACTCTCTTCGTCCCCCTCAGGCCCGTCCTCAATAGGCCTGGAAAGGGAAACTGTGGCCCCTCTGGACACGTCCCATCCAGTTTGGCCACCACAGGATGGGCGTCCATCCTGAAGAATGAAGCCAGGAAAAATGCCGTACTCCCTCCTCGGCCCCGGTATAATGCTTGTATCAGGTTAAAATCAGGTTAAAATGAACAGGAGAGGAGAAAGGGACAGGGCAGCCTCAGAGGGGATGGCCCCGATTCTGTCAGCATCCAGGACACACAGTAGAGAGAAGAAGATGCCCCGATAGGCGTGGGAAGTTTAGAAAAAGGCCAGGACCCCACAAGGCTGGCCGGTACCCTGCCCAGGCAAGAAGGGGAGGGTCAAATGGGAAAGGTGAGGGGGGTCCACACACCAGAAGGAGAACATCGTGACAGGGAGAGCCCCTGTGCTCCCGTCCCTTGCAGAGCCCAGTGTTGGGTGAAAGGCTCCCAAGTGCCTGTTGAGACTGGAGGTATCTGTTGGGGGGCAGGGCTGGCGGGCCTGTGATTCTGGAGAGCAAAGAGGAGGTGCCCCAGGGGAGAGAGGGCTACCTAGGGCTGGCTTCGTATTCTGGACTTTGAAGAGGCTTCTGCAGGGGTTCCAGGTGTCTACTCTGCATTATCTAGTCAGGTACCTGGGAAGGGTGGGGAAAAAGCTGAATTCAGGGTTGATGACTGCTTTGCAACCAAAGGTCCCCGGGTTGTATTTCTTAAGAACCTAAGGGCACCTGGGCAGGTGCGACAGCAGCTGGAAGAGGGATTCCCCAGGGAAAACAAAAGCAGGATAAACTGTCCATGTCAGAGCTCTGGGGAAGGCAGGGGCTTGGAGCGGGAGGCTGTATCTACTGGTGACAACAACCCCACCTCTTCCTAGTTGTGATTTAACCTTTCTGAGCCTCAGTGTCCTCATCTATGAAATGGGACGACTGATAATAATACCTGCCTGGCAAGGCTGTTGAGGAGATTAAATTCAACGACCTCTGTCCTCACCTTGACCCTGTGCGTCCAGTTAAGGTCAGTCCCCTGCTCTTCCACCTCGTCGAGAGAGAGAGGCTCGGCGAAAAATGAAATTGAACAAATAAGTTTGCAACACAGTAAGCCCAGAAGAAGGGAACGAGGAGCTTATTTGTTGTCGAGTTCTGGCGTAATGCTCTGCTGAGCGCACGGACATAAACACGGCGTCTGCTTGCCACGTATTTTTCAGGCTGCCCCCCTCCTGCACACTGCCACCCGCCCTGTTGTAAGGCCCCAGCAAGCATCAGCTCATGTTTCCTTCTCTCTGATTCTCTTCCAGGGACGCTGTATCAACTTCACCAGAGTCAAGAACAATCCTCCTGCCAAGTACCCCCTCAACAATGCCTACCACACCACCTCACCGCCTCCTGCCCCCATCTACACCCCACCCCCCCCTGCTCCCCACTGCCCTCCCCCACCCCCCAGTGCCCCCACCCCTCCAATTCCATCCCCACCTTCCATCCTCCCCCCTCCCCCTCAGGCTCCCCCTCCCAACAGGGCACCACCCCCGTCCCGACCACCTCCTAGGCCCTCTGTCTAGAACCCACAGTTCATGCTCTGGGTTCTCTCAGAAACTTTGGGGAGGAGGCGCCTCTGTGGTGTTAGAACAAGTGTTTCCAGTTAAAGGGGGCTTCCACTTTGGAAATGAGTGGGGATGAAGCCCACTGACGTTCACACACTTTAAAAATTGGTTTGTAACACCAGTACACCGACAATTGTGATCAGAGGAAAGAAATCGAAATTTTGAATTGCCTGAAAACAAACAATGAGGCAACTACAGTCACAATTATAGCCAGCCAGCCATCACCTCTAGAAGGTTCCAGAGACGCTGAAACTGCTGAGATGCTCTAAATGGGACTGTGTCTCATGGAGATCAATAAGAAAATCGTTTCTCTGAGGGTGAAATGCAGAGTCAGATAAGAAATAACATTGCTGGGTTGCTAAATGCTGCCTTCCCTCTTTCACTCCACCTCCATCACTTGACCCTGGACCCTTGGCCTAGGAACCAAGGAATCCTCACCTCTATGTGCCACCCAGGAAGGTCGAGACCCTTTGCCTACATCTTTGGGGAAAGATTGGGGTCCCCATTGTGGCAAGAAACTCAACATCATACAGGTATCCAAAAGCATGTTCTGGGATTTGCAGAGGAGTAAAAGGATATGCCTTATTTTCCTTCCAAATTCTCCCAGTTTCCAAGTGAGGAAGAGGGCGGTTGTTTACTGAAGGAAAAGGTATGTTACCATGTTGCTGTGTAAGTGAAATCAGGTATGTGCACTGACAGGCGAGTACTGATGGGAGCATCAGACAGTTTCTAAAACCCACAGACCATCAGCAGCTGGAGGTGGCTGGCTTTGGCCCAACATGGCCCCTAACCCAACAGACAACGGCATCGTCAAAGAGCAACTTGTTAACGCCTCATGTTAAAAAATCAAGATTTGGCTTCAATTTAAATCACTTGAGATACGAAGAAGTGATTGATCCTATTTTCCACAGACAAACATTAGTTGATCTTCCCAAAATGGCATCACTAGCACCTACCACACAATTTCACTGATTTTGTTTTTCTTTCTCGGTGAAGTTGTGCACCAGAGATTTCTACGTAGAGCTGAAAGACAATAGTCCGGACATACTAAGGAATTTATCCAAAAAAAACCACATGTGTTTGTGGATACAAATATATTTCTCCTTGGCTTTTCAACATACTCACAAATATTATCAGCTGCCTGAAATTCCCACCATGCCTGGGAACCACTCCACTCCTCCAAGTCTTTCTGAATCTGCTATCACCAGTAAGCTCTATAATCACTTTCTAAACATTAGGCTTCATCACCCAAGGGCGAAAACAGAGGCCACTGTTTAGGGCCTCCTGCACCAGCCTGTTCAAAATTACCTCCCCCTCCAACTTTCCACACATCTTAAAATTCCACTCCCGAAACCCTTAAATCTTTTCAGGAATGAAGCAGAATATTAAGTAAATGCAAACTTAGTGCTTCGGGCTGTGGTCTCCAAAGATCCTTCAAAAACCCATCAAGCCAGCCTCATTCTTTCATCTTACTTAGAACAGAGACATAGGACCTAGCATGCATTCCATACACACCAATGCTTGTAGCCATGGCAGACATTGCTAATCAATCACAGCACCATCTTCCATGGAGCCCAGTGATTTCTACACAATCCTCAAATCATAACTCCAAAGAGCCACCACTAATCAGTCAAAATTGAGACATAAACGATCCCTAATTGCCCTCTCAACTTTAGAAAGCAAAAGCAAACAAGGATTGTGTGGGGGAATGGGGAAACCCTTGGGCATTAAAGGTACAGTCAGGGGAGAATAGATCTAGGCAGAGTGCCCTAGTTGGGGTCCACAGGCACTAAATCTGCATTGCCAACACCAAACTGACACTTCCCCAAGCATACCTCAGACCTGCCCTTCTCCCAGCCTGCCGCTGCCAGAGACTCTCCCAGCTTCCTCCTAGAGCTAAAATCAGAGATATTTTACAGGGCTTATGAAAGCAACCTCCCTCGCTTGCCCCCAACCTGGCCCATATTGTCTATTTTTAGAACATTAGGTTTCTTCTTGAGTATAGTCCTCCATAAAGCAGGTGACAGAATGTCTTGGCCACCTGCAGTGACATTGCTGGACTCCAGAGAACCATTCCATAGGCGAATGGGTTCCCCAGGCTCACAGCGTAGAGGCGTTGAGCCCCTGGCCACTGTTTTGACTGCTGGCGGTACAAAACAGTCCACCCCACACCACTGCTGCATGGCTCACTGTGGCCATCAGAAAGTTCAAGCCAAGATGTTGACATTGTTGTGCATCAAGATGGCAGGCATCAGGTGAGAATACGCAACATTCAGGATCCCAACTGCACATCAGTCAGAAGCCCTGTGCAGTTTCCAAGATGTTGTTTTGGTGAACTTTTAGATGAAATAGGGAACTGCAAATATATGATGACTTTGAAGAGGATTAGCAGGGTTTGTCCTTAAAAGGGACTCTTCATGTCAACCCCAGTCATTTAGAATTACAGTGGAGAAGGAGAAACCTCTATACTGTATGAACAAGGTAATATTTTAATAGTAGGCTATTACAGGCAGGAAAATTCTTTAACTGGTTTATAAAATCTATCCAAACTTGTGTCATTCCCTGTAAAAGGTAGCAGACATATGATTGTGATTAGGAAACTGCACAAAATTATTTTTTCAACCCTCATGTTATTGTCCTCCTGAAGTTTTTTTTTAATAAAAGCCAACTTTTTGTTGTATATATTCATATTCCATGTGTTAGATGGAAGCATTTCCTATCCAGTGTGAATAAAAGGAACAGTTGTAGTAAATTATTATAAGGCCAATGATATTTCATGGCAGGTTATTCTACCAAGCTGTGCTTGTTGGTTTTTCCCATGACTGTATTGCTTTTATAAATGTACAAATAGTTACTGAAATGACGAGATCCTTGTTTGCACAGCATTAATAAGAACCTTGAGTGGTTACCTCTGTTGACGACCAGTTCACAAACAGCTTCTGTCCTGGAGCTTGGCCCATACTCCAGTAAGACACAAGGTCTCTCTTTTACCAAAGTCAAGAACAGAGCTAGTGGACATATTAATTAGTAGTCTTGGACATCTGGCCATGGATAACCTCATTGTAAATATCACTAGAATGGGCAGAGATAATCTGGAAGTCTCATATACACTAAAGTCCAAACACTGTGTCAGATGAGGGAAATCCATCCAAGAACTAGAAAAAAGTAATGATGAGATAATGAGCAACAATTTCAGCCCAGTGCCAACTCAATAAAAGACAATTAATGCTGTGTAAAAGTGGGTTGAATTAGTTTGCAAACTATATAAAGATATATGCCATAAAAAGCCTATTAATGCACACCAGATGGGAATGGGATGTTCTAGTCAATTGTGTTTTCTAGTTATCTGAACTCTACTATATTAGCATACTTGGATAAGCAATTTAAAAGAATTAGAATATGATTTTTTAAATACACTTAACATTAAACTCTTCTAATTCTCTCTTCTATCTGTGATAATTCCTAAGACAGTATGGATCTTCAGTGCCTCTGAGTCAATGTTATAAAAATCAGTTATTGCTGTACCTGCTATAGGAGACTGGGCTAAATGTGTACAATGACAAACCCTGGAAGTTGCTTTTTTAAAAAAAATAATAAATTCTTAAAATTAACTCTTTTCCTAGTTGTGTCTTTGTTATGAAAATGAAGTGTAGGTTGTTCAAGTGCTTAACATCCTGATCTTAAAAATGGCTATCACTCTGCAGATTAAATTATATTGCTCAAATTATTTTGCGCCTTCCAATAAACTCTTCACTGTCTTGATTACTCTCATTTCTTCTTTAGCTGTCCAACATTCAACGTATTCTTTATTTTTAGCAACAGTTTTAGATTTTAAAAAGTAACACGTGCTGGGCTTCCCTGGTGGCGCAGTGGTTAAGAATCCGCCTGCCAATGCAGTGGGCATGGGTTCGAGCCCTGGTCTAGGAAGATCCCACATGCTGTGGAGCAGCTAAGCCCATGCGCCACAACTACGGAGCCTGCGCTCTAGGGCCCACGAGCCACAACTACTGAACCTGTGTGCCACAACTACTGAAGCCTGCACGCCTAGAGCCCATGCTCCACAACAAGAGAAGCGACTGCAGTGAGAAGCCCGCGCGCCTCAATGAAGAGTAGCCCCCACTCACCGCAACTAGAGAAAGCCCGCACGCAGCAACGAAGACCCAACACAGCCCAAAATAAATAAATCATTTTTTTAATTTTTTAAAAAAAATTTTAATTAAAAAATAGTAACCCATGCTAAATGAAACAGTGAAGTAAAAGTAGAGATATAGAAGCACACAGGAAAAAAAGTAAATGCAGTGGATCAGTCAAGATTGTTCAGCTGCCTGTAACAGAAACGTGGCTATGATTGATTTGACTCACAGAACAAGGACTCTAGAGGTTTGCTATCTGCTTAAGAAACCAGGCAGTGTCATAGACAGTGCTGCAGCAAATACCCTTCTATTTATATAGACTTCAAAATATTTTTGTTATTTCTGTACCTTATTCTCCTTAGCGGCTTCCATTCAGCTCCTCCTCCTCTTACATTTTTTGTAGGTAAAAGAGTACTAGTTCCTGAATCTGTTTCTTTACAAGTCCTCATTAAGCCTTGAGTTCATCTTAATTGGAATAAAACCCTCTGAAAACAGAAAATCACGCCACAATTTCTTTCCAAGATTTCATTAATATTCAATTTAAATAGCATTTTGGGCACATGCAAGTTTTTAAATTACATTCTTCATTAAATCATTTTGAGAAAACTGGCTTGCAATTTGGAAGGAAAAAGAGAAGTTGGAGCCCTACCTCACTCCTTCCACCAAAATAAATTCCAGCTGTATTTAATTTAAGTGTAACAAATAAAACCAGGGAAGTACTAGAAGTAGTACTTTCTGTACGGTATAAAGAATTTTTAAATCTTATATATTGTTTGACTTGCCAAACAAATTTCAGTGATTGAGCTCTGAATGCTGAGTAGTGCTCCAATGCATTATGTTGAATAAACAAAGAAACCAACAGGAATAAGATCATTGATCAAGTGCTGACTGTGAACTGGAGCGGGAGATCCAAAATTATTCATCACTAAATCCAATTTTCTATCTTCAGATAAATATGTGTTTCCCTGAAGTGTCACTCAGGTATAGAACAATCGATATAAGTTTGTCCATTTAATACATTGTAAACAAGGTCAATGTTACTTACAATTATCAAACATTTTGTATTAGGCCATAGAGTTGGCATATGCAAAACAGATGAAGTTATTCGGTTTACAATTGTATTGTGTTGGCTTGAACCATGGCATCTCCATCCTGAAGTTATCATACCTAAACAAATTAGAAGGTTTATAATTCCACTGAGCATAATCTTTAGTTCCTCTCTTTTTTGCTCAACGTTCAAATGATCATTTAGTTATATAAATCCTTCCTTCTCTATTTAACTTGGAACAGTTTTAATTCTTGGAGTTAAAACTGTGCAACATCTCCTTTGTTTAGTTTTAAATATAATTTCACAATGTACTTATAAAGCAACAGCAGCAGCTGACAAAATGCCTGAGTCACTTGAGAGTTCAGAGCAAATCTCTGTTAAATGATGTTCAATTAATTGTGCACATTCAGTACTTTTTAGCCAGCATATTTAGTTGAGAGTTTCTTATAAACATTAAAATGGATGCAACTCAGAAAAGACATATTTCTTTGGAGTGAAGTGGCTTGCATTCTTGCAAAGCATTTTAAAAGTACAAGAAAGAGGGACTTCCCTGGTGTCACAGTGGTTAAGAATCCACCTGCCAATGCAGGGGACACAGGTTCGATCCCTGGTCCAGGAAGATCCCACATGCCACGGAGCAACTAAGCCCGTGCACCACAACTACTGAGCCTGTGCTCTGGAGCCCGCAAACCACAGCTACTGAGCCTGTGTGCCACAACTACTGAAGCCCACACACCTAGAGCCTATGCTCTGCAACAAGAGAAGCCACTGCAATGAGAAGCCCGCGCACCGCAACAAAGAGTAGCCCCCACTCGTCACAACTAGAGAAAGCCCATGCACAGCAACGAAGACCCAATGCAGCCAAAAATTAATTAATTAATTAATTAAAAAATTTTAAAAGTACACGAAAAATTGGCACTAAGAGTACAGGAACCATTTCATTTTCTTCTGAAAGAGAAGTCATAAGACAGGAGACCTATCAGCCACCCATCACTGACACTTTCAAGCACTTTGGAGTTGCTGCCAAGATAGTGGAGTAGGAAGACCCTGAGTTCACCTTCTCCCATTGGGCACACCAAAATTACAACTATTTACAGAGCAACTATCAATAAGAATAACCTGAACACTAGCAGAAAAGATTTTCTGCAACTAAAGATCTAAAGAAGGAGCCACAGTGACTTTGGCAGTGGGAGCAAAGATGCAGTATGGTCAAGACCCACCCCCCTGGGTAAATGGCCCACAAACGGGAGGATAATTACAATTGCAGAATTTCTCCCGAAAGGAATGAGGATTCCAAGCCCCAGCGTCCTGCACCAGGAAGACAAGCTCCCTGAGTGTCTGGCTTTGAAGGCCAGTGGGACTTGCTTAAGGGAGAGCCAGAGACTCTGCTTTTACGGGGCACATGCAAAATCACACACGCTCTGTGACCCAGAGCAGAGTCAGTAATTTGAAAGGAGCCTGGGTCAGACTCACTTACTGATCTTGGAGAGGCTCCCAGAGTCAAGAGCCAAAAGGAACACCCTCTGAGGACACAGATGCTGGCAGCAGTCATTTTTGAGAGCTCATTTTACCACATGACCCTGGTGCTGCCAAGCACCATTTTGGAGTCTTCCTCTAGCCCATTGGTACCAAGGGCTTACCCACTCACCAGCTGGTCAGCACCAGTCCCAGGACCCCCCAGGCTAAGAGGCCAGTAGTATAGGAACTAAGCCCTGCCCAGAAGCAGGCCAGGCACAAGCCCCAGATACCCTTGTCCATGCAGCCAGACACACCAAGATTTAGCCCCACAGACCAGCAGCTTGGCAGCCCCTGCATGAGTCAGGGTCTGGCAACAAACCATGCCAGGGATCAGCTGCGTCTACCAGCTGACTGCAGTAGTGGGTCCCATCATAACAGAAGGGCCCAGCAGCTTACACAGGGTCACCCCTAAAGCATATAGCTCTAGTGACCAGAGAGGAGTATGCTGCCCGGCCCCATAGGACATCTGTTAAATAAGATCACTTCTCCAAGATCAGGAAGCATAACCAACATACCTAATACATAGAAATAGAGAATTAGGCAAAATGAGGGAAGAGATGAATATATTCCAAATTAAGGAACAAGATAAAACCCCAAAAGAAGAACATAGTGAACTGTAGATAAACAATCTACCTGATAAAGAGTTCAAGGTAACAATCATAAAGATGTTTAATGAACTTGGGAGAAAAATGGATGAACACACTGAGAAGTTTAACAAAGAGTTAGAAAATATAAAGAAGAACCAAACAGAGCTGAAGAATACAATAACTGAAATAAAAATACACTAGAAGGAATCAACAGTAGACTAGCTGATACAGAGGAATACATTAGCAAACTGGAAGGCAGACTAGTGGAAATCACCAAAGCTGAACAGAAAAAAGAATTTAAAAACATGAGTATAGTATAAAAGACCTCTGGGATAACATTAAGCATAGTAATAGTCACATTACAGGGGTACCAGAAGGAAAAAAGAGAGAAAAAAGGGCAGATAACTTATTTCAATAAATGATAGCTGAAAATGTCCTTAATCTGGGAAAGGAAACATTCATATCCAGCAAGCACAGAATATCCCCAAAAAGATGAATCCAAAGAGATCCACACCAAGACACATTGTAATTAAAATGGCAAAAATTAAACATAAAGAGAAAATCATAAAAGCAGCAAGGAAAAAGCAACAAGGTATGTACAGGGGAACTCCCATAAGGCTATCAGCTGACTTTTCAACAGAAACCCTGCAGTCCAGAAGGGAGTGGCATGATATATTTAAAGAGATGAAAGGGAAAAACCTACAACCAAGAATCCTCTACATGACAAGGCTGTCATTCAGATCTGAAGGAGAGATAAATAGTTTTACAGACAAGCAAAAGCTAACCGAGTTCAGCACCACTAAACCAACTTTACAAATATGTTAAAGGATGATTGCTTTGGTAGCCCATATACTAAAATTTGAATGATACAGAGAAGATGAGCATGGCCCCTGAGAAAGGATGACATGCAAATTCATCAAGCGTTCCATATTTATATGAGATCAAAAACACAAAATATGGGGGAAAGGAGTAAAAAAATGTAGATCTTTTAGAATGTGTTTGATCTTAAATGACTGCCATTTAAAACAAGTAGATATAGTTATAGGTCAACATATATGAACACCATCATAGCCACAAATCAAAAACCTACAATAGGTTCACAAAAAATAGAGAGAAAGGAACAGAAGCATACCACTAAAAGTCATCAACAATGTTGTAAATCAACTATACTCCAATAAAAATTTTAAAAAATAAAAATAAATTAAAATAAAAAGGAAAGTCATCAAAACACAAGGGAAGAAACTAACAGAAGTACAAAACAATCAGAAAACAAGTAACAAAATGGCAATATGTATGTACCTATCAATAAACACCTTATATGTCAATAGACTAAATTCTCCAATCAAAAGATTTAGTGTGGCTGATTGGATTAAAAACAAGATCCGGGGCTTCCCTGGTGGCGCAGTGGTTGAGAGTCTGCCTGCCGATGCAGGGGACACATGTTCGTGCCCCGGTCGGGGAAGATCCCACATGCCGCGGAGCGGCTGGGCCCATGAGCCATGGCCACTGAGCCCGCGCGTCTGGAGCCTGTGCTCCACAACGGGAGAGGCCACAACAGTGAGAGGCCCGCGTACAGCAAAAAAAAAAAAAAAAAAACAAGATCCGTATATATTCTGCTTACAAGAGATTCATTTCAGAGCTAAAGACACACAGACTGAAAGCAAGAAAGTGGGGGAAAAAAGATATTTCATGCAAATGGAAATGACAAGAAAGTGGAGGTAGCAGTATTCATATCAGACAAAATAAACTTTAAAACAAAGTCTATAACGAAAGAGAAAGAAGGTCATTACATAATGATAAAGGGATCAGTACAAGAAAAGAGTATTATACTAGTTAACATATATGTACCTAATACAGGAGCACATAAATATATAAAGCAAATATTAACAGACATACAGGGAGAAATTGCCAATAATAGTAGGGAACTTTAACATCCACTTATATCAATGGACAGATCATCCAGACAGAAAGTCAATAAGGAAACAATGGTCTCAAATAACACATTAGACCAGTTGGACTTAATAGATATATACAGGACATTCCATCCAAAAACAGTACAATACACATTCATCTCAAGTGCACATGGAATGGTCTCCAGGATAGGTCACATGCTAGGCCACAAAACAAGTCTCAACAAATTAAAGAGGACAGAAATTATATCAAGCATTTTTTCCAACCAGAAAAGTATGAAACTAGAAATCAATTACAGAAAGGAAAATGGGAAAAAAACAAACACATGGAGACAAGACAACGTGCTACTAAAAAAACAAGAGATTGATGAAGAAACCAAAAGGAAATCATAAAATACCTCTAAACGAATGAAAATGGGAACACAACACTCCAAAATCTATGGGATGTACCAAAAGCAGTTCTAAAGGGGAAGTTTATAGAGATACAGTCTACCTCAAGAAACAAGAGAAATCTCAAATAAACAACCTACCTACCATCTAAACAAATTAAAAAATCAAAGCACAGACAAAGTCCAAAGTCATCAGAAGGAAGGAACAATAAAGATCAGACATAAAATAAATAAAATTGAGATTAAAAATAGTAAAAATCAATGAAACCAAGAGCTGTTTTTTGAAAAGATTAATAAAACTGAAAAACCTTTAGCTAGGCTCACCAAGAAGAAAAGAGAAGCACCCAAATATACAAAATAAGAAATGAAAGAGGAGAAATAACTACAAAAAAATCATAAGAGAATACTACAGTTATACGCTCACAAATTGGACAACCTAGAAGAAATGGACAAATTTCTAGAAACATACAACTTCACAAGACTGAATCAAGAAGAAACAAACAGGGACTTCCCTGGTGGTCCAGTGGTAAAGAATCTGCCTTACAATGCAGGGGATGCCGGTTCAATCCCTAGTCAGGGAACTAAGATACCACATGCCACGGGACAACTAAGCCCATGCACCACAACTACTGAGCTCACACACCTCAACTAGAGCTTGTGTGCCACAAACCACAGAGCACATGAGCTCTGGAAGCCATGCACCACAACTACAGAGCCCACATGCCCTGGAGCCTGCATGCCACAACTAGAGAAGAGAAAACCTGCACACCACAACTAGGCAGAAGCCCGTGTACCACAACGAAGACCCCATGTGCTGCAACGAAAGATCCCGCATGCCTTAACTAAGATCCCCCATGCCACAACTAAGACCTGACGCAGCCAAAAATAAATAATAAATAAATCTTTTAAAAGAAGAAGAAGAAACAAACAATTAGAACAGATCAATCACTAGTTAAATTGAATTTGTGAAAAAAATAAAAATAAACAAAAAAACCTCCCAACAAACAAATGTCCAGAACCGGATGGCTTCACAGGGAAATTTTACCAAACGTAAAGGAGAAGGAACATTTCCAAATTCATTCTACAAGGCCACCATTACTCAGGTACCAAAACCAGAAAAAGACACCACAAAAAAAGAAAATTACAGGCCAATGAAGAACATAGATGCAAAATTTTTCAACAAAATATTAGCAAATCAAATTCAACAATACATTAAAATGATCATACACCATGATCAACTGGGCTTTATCCCAGGGATGCAAGGATGGTGCAATATCTACAAATCAACCAACATGATACACCTCTTTAACAAACTAGAGAATAAAAATTATATGATCCCCTTTGAGCCCTGAACCAAGATGGTGGAGTAGAAGGATGGGCTCTCACTCACTCTTGCAAGAAAACCAGAATCACAACTAGCTGCTAGACAATCATCGACAGGAAGACACTGGAACTCACCAAAAAAGATACCCCATATCCAAAGACAAAGGAGAAGCCACAATGAGACAGTAGGAGGGGTGAAATCACAGTAAAATCAAATCCCGTAACTGCTGGGTGGGTGACTCACAGACTGGAGAACGCTTATACCACAAAAGTCCACCCACTGGACTGAAGGTTCTGAGCCCCACGTCAGGCTTCCAAACCTGGGGGTCCGGCAACGGGAGGAGGAATTCCTAGAGAATCAGACTTTGAAGGTTAGTGGAATTTGATTGCAGCACTTCAACAGGACTGGGGGAAACAGAGGCTCCACTCTTGGAGGGCACACACAGAGTAGTGTGTGCATCGGGACCCAGGGGAAGGAGCAGTGACCCCAGGGGAGACTGAACCAGACCTACCTGCTAGTGTTGGAGGGTCTCCTACAGAGGCAGGGGGTGGCTGTGGCTCACCATGGGGACAAGGACACTGGCAGCAGAAGTTCTGGGAAGTATTCCTTGGCATGAGCCCTCCCACAGTCTGCCATTAGCCCCACCAAAGAGCCCAGGTAGGCTCCAGTGTTGGGTCGCCTCAGGCCAAACAACCAACAGGGAGGGAACCCAGCCCCACCCATCAGCGGTCAAGCGGATTAAAGTTTTACTGAGCTCTGCCCACCAGAGCAACAGCCAGCTCTACCCACCACCAGTCCCTCCCATCAGGAAACTTGCACAAGCCTCTTAGATAGCCTCATCCACCAGAGGGCAGAAGCAAGAAGAACTACAATCCTGCAGCCTGTGGAACAAAAACCACATTCACAGAAAGATAGACAAGATGAAAAGGCAGAGGGCTATGTACCAGATGAAGGAACAAGATAAAACCCAGAAAAACAACTAAATGAAGTAGAGATAGGCAACCTTCCAGAAAAAGAATTCAGAATAATGATAGTGAACATGATCCCAGGACCTTGGAAAAACAATGGAGGCAAAGATCGAGAAGATGCAAGAAATGTCTAACAAAGACCTAGAATAATTAAAGAACAAACAAACAGAGATGAACAATACAATAACTGAAATGAAAACTACACTAGAAGGAATCAATAGCAGAATAACTGAGACAGGAGAACAGATAAGTCACCTGGGAGATAGAATGGTGGAATTCATGCTGTGGAACAGAATAAATAAAAAAGAATGAAAAAACGAAGACAGCATAAGAGACCTCTGGTACAACATTAAACACAACAACATTCGCATTATAGGGGTCCCAGAAGGAGAAGAGAGAGAGAAAGGACCAGAGAAAATACTTGAAGAGATTATAGTCGAAAACTTCCCTAAGATGGGAAAGGAAATAGCCACCCAAGTCCAGGAAGCACAGAGAGTCCCATACAGGATAAACCCAAGGAGAGACACGCCGAGACACATAGTAATCAAACTGGCAAAAATTAAAGACAAAGAAAAATTATTGAAAGCAGCAAGGGAAAAATGACAAATAACATACAAGGGAATTCCCATAAGGTTAACAGCTTATTTCTCAGCAGAAACTCTACAAGCCAGAAGGGAGTGGCATGATATACTTAAAGCGATGAAAGGGGAGAACCTACAACCAAGACTACTCTACCCGGCAAGGATCTCATTCAGATTCAATGGAGAAATCAAAAGCTTTACAGACAAGCAAAAGCTAAGACCAAACCAGCTCTACAACAAATGCAAAGGAACTTCTCTAAGTGGGAAACACAAGAGAAGAAAACGTCCTACAAAAAGAACCCCCAAACAATTTTAAAAATGGTCATAGGAACATACATATTGATAATTACCTTAAACGTGAATGGATTCAATGCTCCAACCAAAAGACCCAGGCTTGCTGAACGGATACAAAAACAAGACCAATATATATGCTGTCTACGAAAGACCCACTTCAGACCTAGGGACACATACAGACTGAAAGTGAGGGGACGGGAAAAGATATTCCATGCAAATGAAAATGAAACGAAAGCTGGAGTAGCAATACTCGTATCAGATAAAATAGACTTTAAAATAAAGAATGTTACAAGAGACAAGGAAGGGCACTACATAATGATCAAGGGATCAATCCAAGAAGAAGATATAACAATTATAAATATATATGCACCCAACATAGGAGCACCTCAATACATAAGGCAACTGCTAACAGCTATAAAAGGGGAAATCAACAGTAACACAGTAATACTAGGGGACTTTAACACCTCAC